TACAAAATGGAACATCCATTTTTGCATACTTGTTGCTAATCAGGGATTTTAAGTATTGAAGCAAGAGTTGAATTATAGTCAGCAGCGGGCCTGTTATGAGCAGTTATGAGGGAGGAATCATTAATGACAGCATTTGTTTTTTTTTTTTCTCATGAATAACTCTAATCCTAAAGTGACCAAGGTAGTTGACAAATGGCACCTACTAGTGTTCAGTCAGCTGTTCAACTCCCCAATAGCCTTAAAATCTGGAGATGTCTATATGAAAATATCAGCGTCATTCCTGAAGTTGGTTATTGGTCCTGCCTTCTCCCACCGACTGTGGCTATATACCACAATAGTCCAATACTGAGGTACGTCAGGTGGGAAGGGTGACACAACATTCAGGCTTTAGGAATGAAGTCAGCATTTGCATAACAGAAAGTTCTAAAATTCTGAAATGATCATGGCATGCTCAAGCATGTATTCAACCTATATGCACCCCTTAGTTCATCATACAGTATATTGACTTTAGAGCAGTGCTGCACAAGAAACATTGGTATATAGAGTGCTGTACAACCAATACTAAGCCCAGAAGACACTTGTTTTTCCACAGGACCTGTCTAAGTACCGCATTATAATATAACTGTTAATAAGGTTAATGGAACTAATCTCTTTGCACATTGTAAAAGAGAAAAAAAGATTTCAACATTTAAACATCAAGAGGGCGTAACATAGTCTCGTTTGTGTATAACACACTTCTAATTTCTTTTTTACAAGACTCTTCAGAATGTCTTAATGGTTTCTATGGGAAACACAGAAACAGCACATATTACAAGTGATATCCCGTTGTGTTGGCAGGTGTGGGCAACATCAAATGAATTTATTACACTCTGTGTTAACAATGAAAATTATAGTAAAACTGGATGAAAGTGTTCTACATCCAGCTAATTTGAAGCTACCTTATGAGACAATAACAAGCTCCTAACAGGTTTTTCTTTTCTTTCTTTAATTCTAATTACACTTAATGTTCCTTGTCGCATTTGATTTCATGGTAATTATATTTCAAAACTTTTGCAATTAGGGTGCAGTTAATATTGTGGAATATTGCAATTATTTTTCATTGTGACACCTCCATTGAAAATTGGTGGCAAAAGTGGTGGCGTAATGATCACATTGTTCGTCTAAATCAAAAATGTAGCAATACAGCAACTGAACCAATTACCCATTTCTATTTATAATTACGGACTGTCATGTCCTATGCCAAAAGCTATAGGCATTTCCAAAACACAGGTATTTAGCACTATAATTGTAGCCTAATTACATTATAAGGGGCACTGTTAATATGCCCCATTTTATTATGTCTTTTAATTATACCATTTCAGTGCTTAAGATGGCTAGCACTTTACTCTTCTTATACACACTAAATTATTAGCATATAACAGCAAAATGCAACAATATTAGCATACATTCTTTTTTATTGTAATGGAAACCTAATATTACCATTAAGTTTAATGGTTTGAAAAAGAAATGATCATACTGACATTTTTTCTGACCTATAAAGGAAAAAAGAGAACAGGAGCTTTACTGATCATTCCTTTCCTTTAAGGTATTGAACAATTCCACACTGTAGTCATGAGAAAAAAAGGGGTTTGGTGAGGGTAATGGGTTCAAAATCAACCACAAAACACTTATTATTACAGGAGGAATGAGACATATAAGTGATGGATCCAGTTAGATTAAAAAGGAAACAGGTGAACTGAACAGGGATGGCTTGGCATGGGACTTAAAAATGACAGATTGATGGAAAGAGCAAATGAAAGTGACTAATACAGCCGATTGCTGCTGAATGGACACATTTCTTAAATTTCGTGGTTGTGAGGACCTTGCCTCTCTCTCTCACTTCTACAGATTCCTATTGGCCAAAGAGGAAACACATCATAGTAATGGGCCAATACAAATGAGGGAGGTAGGAGGGTTAAAGGAGGGAATGGCAAGCACCAAAAGTTTCCAGAACCGTGCTTTTATTTTCAAAACAGCCTTGTGGTCGTGCATAGCAAGGGGAATGGGAACTGCTGCAGATATGCTAATACCTCTGTTCTCATCAATATTAATACAACTAAACTAAATGCACATGCAGTCATGAATAGTTTATTAAAGTGTAACCAACATGAAACCTGGCCTAGAATCTTTTCTATATATTAACAGGTCATATAATACTATATAAATCTTCTACAAGTATGATATATCTAATCTCCCAAGAATTATTGTTAGTTATTATGTATTGGAATACCTCTCTGCACAATTCTCCAGTCTGCCATGAAGGTATATGGAAGTTTGACTCGGTCAAAGGGATGCCATCTATACCCTATTTTTTCTCCTTTGGTTATTTCTTTTACTATGCCTACACCTGCCCATGATTCCCATATCTCCTTCAGTGTATGCCTTCACAAGCTCACGATCTCTGTGTCTCCTTCAGTCATGTCATCTACAATTTCATTGTCTTCTCTGATCTCGTATGTCTCAGGCTCCAACTACACACCCTGGGAGCACAGTTGGTAGCTGTGCTTTTGGATTTGTCCTGCATTTTTTTAGGTTGCTTGGAGTCTTCAAATATGTCCATAGTAAAGCAATTTGCAAAAAAATCAAATTACTTGAGTAGTCATGGAGAGCTTGATATGAGGACCAGTGCTGGGACCTTTTGCCTGATATTAATATGGTCTTCTGATGTGTTAGTCTTCCTATATTACTATATATATATATAAATTAAGTTACATGTAAAATATACTGCATCTTCCACAAAAGTCTGGATCATTTAAAATATGCTAATCAGCCTGCTCAGTTTATAGTAAAACGGTTATACATTTGCCCACAAGTAATATCATATATAACTGAAAACACAGGTTCAATCAACAGAGGAAAATTCAAGTCAAAAGCACAGATTCTGGATTGTTTTCTCTTCAGCATGTGTTATTTAACATTGCCAGTACTTGTTTCCAAAGTATAAATAAGAGCATTCAGTATTCAGTGCAGAAGGAACATGAAAAGTACAAAGAGGGAAGGAAAAGACAAGAGGTCAGGTACGGGCCAGCTAGCCAGACTCTAAATGCATTCTCAAAACTAAAAGGGCATTAGCCAAGAATGAACTTTGCATATATCATTAATAGCTTCAATGTACACAACCTAATAATCTCTGATGAAATTAAATAGCTGCAAGCTAATAAAACCTCATTTGAAAATTGATCTAGTACTTCCAGTATGTTTTGAAGTCATTAGTTGACAGTTTTTAAATCAAAAATATGCTGCATACATAAGCAAAAATACCATGTCAAGATAATTATTCCCGTATCACACTTTCCAAAGAAAATACTTAGTATGTAACACAGAAAAATGAAAAACATAAGCTTATGCAAATAATCTTACATGTGTGTGTTTGTATGTATATAAATACAAATAGTATTGGAGAATGTGATTAATTGCTGTAAATAACACCAACCCTTTACAGTATAAGTAGCCACAAGAGTCAACTATAACAGACAGTCGACTCCTGCTACTGCTACTGCCATTTTGTGTGATATGAATTCTAACACCACCTTAGAATTGCTGCCCATTAGTACAGTGATTTAAAATACCCCCTGGCCAGCCTGGTGACAGCTAAGACTGCAGCACTATATTCAGTCATGTTCTGAGGTATCAAGGGACAGGTGGAGTCTATACCTGTGGCTGATGTGAACAGTTTGGGATTTTTTGCCATAAAACACTATGTAGACACTGTCAAACAGAAGTAAAGGCTTACAAAATTGAGTGCCTTTATCTATGTTGGAATATAGATTTGAAAAATAGATTACTTCCCAAAATACACAGCTTAATGGTAATCTTGCAACTATAACACATTCAATATAATCTTTACATCATGTGCTCACATTTTTCAGCCTATGGCATACATAGCGGAGACTGTTAGAAATGTCATGTAGTTACACGTACATCACACAGGCTGGAAGATATGTCAAACCACAGAGGACCAAGCTGGTATGATTTCATATTGTGAATGAATAAAGCTGCATTTTAATGGAAGAATACACATTCTTTTCAGCCCATTAAAGTCAAGAGAATGCTGATACTAAAAGTCAATGAGGCTGGTTTGAAATCAGGGAAACTTGCAGGAAATCAGAAATAATTGACATATCTACAGTGAGGTGCTTTAAAAACAGTGCAGGAAAAAAATCAAATGACACCCTGGGTCGAATGCAAATTAAAGTACACATTTATGTTATAAAGGTAAGTGCCACATTTTACATACTGAAATAACAGTGCAGCTGAAAATTATTAATGTTAACACACATTTTACAATATGCAATGTGACATATGCTTGGTTCTACATACAAGATGTTTTCTGCCTTAAAAGTGAGCACTATATAGACTACATTAACATACTTTACTGTATTTATGGTATAGGCTTCACATGTTAAAACTACATGTGTTAATCGAAAATGTAGATTTTATCCATCAAACTCAGTGAGCCACAGGCAAAAACAACACAAAGAGCCTAGGCTTCCTGTGAATAATGTTTTCTCCACTCATCCATATCAAGTGAAGATAACAGTCATTCCTCACTAATGTGTATTTCGTACACATGCACAGAAAATGATAAATTTATCCTGCTCAAGTGGATAATGTCTGTTTAAGAGGTCACTAGCTGCAGCCAAACATGATTTGAACAGTCAAGGGTGCTAGATGTCTGTGTAGCAATGAAAGGTATAGGGTAGTGATTAGATTTTGCTTAACTACTTCAACTATTATTCTTATTCTTTAGTTTAGAAAAGGTCTATTAATACAAGATAAGATGCAAATTCCGTTTGAAAAAAAAATGTATATATAACATGTATTGTATATATTACAGCTCTGCTTTAAACGGAAACCTGTATTGAAAGAGTTATAGAAGTGGCTGTTGTTGATCTCTCTTTTCAAAATGCTCCATACCTGGATGTCTTGCTGACTCAACAGCAGGGGCGGACTGACAACTCATGGGGCCCCCGGGCAATAGGGGATCATGGGACCCTTGTGTCCTTGCCCAAACTCAAAAAAGCCTATGAAAAAGGTACCAGGGGCATCTCATGGGGCTCCCTACTGACCCCGGGCCCTCGGGCAGTGCCTGAGTTTCCAAATGGTAAGTCCGCCCCTGCTCAATAGGTTTGATTTACTAAAGGAAAATACACTGTTCACTTTTCAGAAACAAAATTTGCACTTTTCAAGGGGAATTTTCCCCAGAGCTTAGTGATTGAGGTGAATTGCTGCTGACTTACGTCATCTAATCATCTGCAAAACAAAAATTGTTTTCTTTCTCACTTTTCCCTTGCATGTGATTGGGTATTGTTTGCAAAGTGAAATTTCACTATATTTGCAAAGCTCTGGGGAAACTTCCCTTGCAAAGTGCTGCTTCCCCTTCAATGTCAATAGCCTAGTTGCCTTTAGTAAATTGACCCCAATGACCTCAATACATCCCAAGTTGCTGATCTAGAAAAAAATATGCAGATCAGGTGTTATAATTTCTAGTATAGAATGCACGCTCCAGGCCATTGATTTATGAAGGAATTAAAAATCCACTTTCCAGGCAGCTAGGAGATTGGGATTTTCAAATGAAGGCATTTGGCATTTTCATATAATGGCAGCTATTTCTCTCAGCACAACTTTCCTATAAAATAAGCTTTAATACAAAAGTAATAAACCAATGTCTAGTTCTGTTTTGCCAGTCTACTATGGAAGGCACGATACATACAGTAACTAAACATCTGTGCTATAATCTATGAATATACAACAAACACCGGTAAAATGTAAACAAAAAATGTAAAAATCATAAATATCATGCTGATGATCATCTGTGATCATCTGTTAGCAGTCAAAAACAGCACTGGTAATTAATGTTCATTTTGCTACACTCTGTAGTATTATTCACTACAAAAGTCCATAACAAACTATAAAACACACTTTAAATTATTGTATGTTTTTGGGGCTTTGTATGTACAAAGCCCATTATAAAAAAAATCTGTTTTGGACTTTTCTCATCTTCCTTGAAGTGTAGACATTTTAAAGTTGACAGACAAATGTCATGCAATATCCTCAGAATATCCAGAGGTGTCTTTGAAACTCTTGTTGTGGCACAGTAACTTAAAGCAGCGTTCCACCTGAAAAAACAAAAATAAAAGTCAGCAGCTACAAAAACCGTAGCTGCTGACTTGTAAAATACAGACACTTACCTGTCCCTTGGTCCAGTGGTGTCCTTACCACTGAATGGCCCCGTAGTCTCCCCCATAGTCTTATGGGACCTGTTACATGTCCCAGAAGACAATGGGGAGGGAGGGGGAGAGGATAACTTCAGCTCTGATTACCTAGGTGATCGCAGTGGAAGTGGGAGTGTGTACCTGTCAAGTTCGGGTATCCGCTCCCCAAAGGTGCCAATCCTTAATGGAGAGGGGGGACAAAGGCTGGGGCCATGTGGGAAACCTCCCTGCATCTATCCCATGCTGAGCAGAGAGTGGGCGTGTTGGGATCTATACCATGGAGGCATGGAGGAAGATACTCTGTATTTTCAGCTGTAGGAGAGGAAAGAAGGCAGTAGGGATTTGAAATCCCTGCGGCTTTCTCTCTTCTCCTTGCAGGGGTGACAGTTCGGGCTAGAAGGCTTTTTATTGGTCAGCACCATCTCATGGATGATGCTGACCAATCAGAAGCCATCTAGCTCATAGTGTCATCCCTGCAAGGAGAGGAGAGAAAGCCGTGGGATTTTGAAATCCCCAAACCTGTGAAGCAACTTTCTCTCCTCTCCTTGCAGGGATGACAGTATGGGCTAGATGGCTTTTGATTGTTTAGCACTGTCCATGTGACGGTGCTAACCAATCAAAAGCCCTCTAGCCCAAACTGTCATCCCTGCAAGGAGAGGGGAAAAAACTGCAGGGATTTCAAATCTCCACCACTTTTTCTCCTACAGCTGAGAATATGGAGCTTCTGCCTCCATCTGCCACCAGGTGTATATCCCACACGCTCTTCTCTCCCACTCTCCACTTCAGGAAACTTCCCTGCACTGCTCCTGTGTGAACTCAGGCTATGACAAGCCTGGGTTCACACAGGAGCAGTAGGGAAACAGCATGCAATTTGGACAGGAATCACATTCCTGTTCAAATCGAACACTATTCTTTGTGGTGCAATTTGCTTCCATACATTTTGTAATGATGCAAATCTCACCACAAAGTATCAGTACTCGGTATCCACGAGTACTTGACCTAAAGTATCTGTACTCGTACTCACCGATCAAAAAATGGTGCATCCCTATTAGAGACTGGCTCAGTCTCTGAGCTGGGAGCATGCAGTGAGCAATCTCTGAGCAAAGAAATTTATGCCATCCATGAAAGCATATATGCTGCATGTAGGTTTTAAAAACTTCCCTTGTTGCTATCTCTTGTGGGTGACAAGAGGTTAAAATGTTTGTTATTGGCAAGACACCAAAGCCAGCCATAGATGGTTTGAATTTTGACTGATTCAGCAGGAATTGGACGAGATTCGATCCATGTATGGGCAGGCCGATTGTACCCAAGTCGATCCATTGATTGAGTTAGGTACAACCAGCATTTTGGATTTCTGGCATGTGTAGTGCCCCCCTGACCCCTGAAGACAAGATGATGCCTCCAGAGGCAGAGAGCGAGCATTTACTCCAGGGCTGAGACCATGGCTACAATGAGGAGATGAGAACAGAAATTGGGAATCAGTCACTTTTTGTCTTAGTGTTTTAATGTTAAACCTGAAGAGACACCTTGGATCCAAAACAAAGGACAGATTCACAGTGTCATTGAAGCTGACCTGGCAACATTGCAAGCATGTTTTCAGCTTCAGAATGAAGTACAGCTTTACAGTGTCAGAACCTTTAAGCTGATATGACAGCACTGCAAGCACGTTTTCAGCTTCTGGTGCCTTCTCCAAGAAAGTCACCAGGCCATTCTGAGAAACCATCCTTCATCCTGGCTCTCTTCAGCAAGGAGCCACCCCTGGATCTAGTCACCTTGGCTTGGCTTTCTCCACGCCACACAGGACAACCTCAGGACCACCTCAGAGTAGATAGGCCCCAGATAAGCTTCCGGGCCTAAGCACAGATCTCTCTCCAACAGCCCCTCCTCAGGCCTCAGCCAGGCAAGATCCATAGCACATGGCCCTCTCCAAATATTTATATACTCTCCCATCATGCACCAGTGACCATGAACCTCCTACTGGGCTGTCTAGAAGAAATATACATATTAATAACGCTAATTGTCTAATTTTACAATCTCATACTATGACCTATGGTATCAGTGATACCTACTGGCAACAGTGAGAAATGCACGACCCAGCTGAGTTTAGGGAAAGGCCAGCTATAACTGTACAATCAGTCTGAGCTGCCTACACCCAACCAAAAACTATATTTGTTTAGTAGCCCCAGTTTAGGACCAGGGGGCTACACATGCATTTATTGGCAATGGTTATAGCCACTAGCAATAATCACTATGTTCTCTCAGCAGGGATGGCTCCCCACGCTCCCCCGCTGGAAGAACACAATAGCTCTTTGGTAGGGATTTAAACGATTTTCTTTCCTGAAATCTGTTGTGGCAGGAAAGAAAATTGCATCATCTATGGCCTGCCTTAATTTTTTTCAGACTTTTTTTCACGCTTATCAAACAAGTTTTCTGTTTACCTTGTAATCTAATTACATGGCTTTACATGGACACTCATATTTATAAAGCAGCAAATCTGAAACTGAGCAAATGTTCTCTGCAGATGAATCTTGCAGGTGCATGTGTTTTTAATGACAGTGATTGATCCCCTCTGGAGGTTGTTTGGTGAAAGTCACATTCACTGTTTTATAAATAGATTCCACAATGTGGAAATTAACAGATACCATTCTTCAAATTCATACAATTTAGAATAAATTACTTTAGGAAAACAAACAAAAAAATAACAACAAAAACCCACATAATTTGATTTTATTCAAAGCTTCTGTGTGCTCATCACAATTGTTACCAGCTGGAGCTGTCATACTGCTTCTATGCCAATATAAGACTTGTACGTTTAGACTTAGGCCTTGCAACCTGAATTCCCATAACGGCACAGTGACATCCAGCTTGAGAGAGTCACATCATGGGGTTCTAAATGTCTAGAACATTTAGTAATAAACACATAAATTTGTATAAATGAGATACTGTATAGTAACCATAAAATGTATAGTGTCAATGTTATGTATAGCACTCTCATAGCTAATTTCAAAGACACTGCTTAGATTTTTAGAATATTCTGTGAATAATGCAATAAAGCAAAAATGGCAAATGTAGCTAAAAAACATCTTTTGAACCTGTAACATATGGAGTGCTGTGAGTGAGAATTCCCAGTGTTCTAAAGTGTTTCTGCTAAAGAACACACCAAACATGTTAAAATGCTTTATCATGTGGATAGCTGAGAAACAAACAAATATCTCCCTATGGCTTGTAGATCTTCTTATAGACATACTATACTTATGTTCCTTCAAAACGGAATCGTCTTTGAGGTAACCCTGCTAAGATAATGGCAACTTGAGAGCTTATGATGAAATTTTGATTTTATGGTGGATATGTGCTAGATGCTTCTTCCATTTCAAAAAGCAATCAGCTATTTGTATAAAAGCACTTAGAGGCGGTATCAGTTTTGACAATACAAAGACAGACAATCTAAAGATTTTAGCAATACATGTACCTATTTTCAGGGTTTCTCAGGGATATATGAGACTGGTGCATTCTCATACCTAGCAAATGGATTATAAATAGTTAAAAGATTTTTATAGTTCTGTGTGTCCTTTTAAGACCCATATTCTCATGTTGGTTATACAAATTTTGGAGTTATATTTTTTATTTGATTTGATTTAACAAAGGAAAAACTATTATGTACATTCATTATCACAGCTACACTATTTTTATTGAAATAACAATGCAAGGGAGAACTCAGTGTGCTAGTAACTACATTGTTAAAAAGAAATGATGAAAAGAAACACAATCATATTCAGCTTGGTGGATACAGCATCTGTTTAATACTGCATCTGTCTCCTGT